CGCCCATTTGCTGGGAGGAGCATACCAAGCTGCCATATAGACCCCGCCCATTTGCTGGGAGGAGCATACCAAGCTGCCATTTAGACCCCGCCCATTTGCTGGGAGGAGCATACCAAGCTGCCATTTAGACCCCGCCCATTTGCTGGGAGGAGCATACCAAGCTGCCATTTGCTGACCCCTAATGCCCACCATGCCTCACAGGTGACCTCTCAGCGCAGTGCCACTACTGCACACACTACTCATCTGCCATCATTGTCGCCTCCTTCCTGGTGCGGATGGAGCCCTTCTCTCAGACCTTCCTGAGCCTGCAGGTAAGACCTCGTCAGCGCCCCCTAGCTTCGGAGTGCTCACTTTGAGCCATAGAGGTGTCACCTCAGCTGTGCATCCCACTATTGCCGTCTGTGTGTCACCCTGAGGCTTGAGAACACCTCAGAAGTCCTGCTGCACAACAACTGCCTGACTGCTTACAGTCCATTGGCTTCTTCGCAAACTTTTACTTTTCAGAAAGCATTATTTCAATATGTATGCAAATAAATATCTTAGCAGCAAAAAAATGCAAAAATTTGGTTTCGTCTTTTAAAAACATCAGATTTATACATTGCGATCCAATTGATTAAAATAAAATGCCATGCATATTTAATACAGAGATATAAAACAATAAAGATATTAGATGCACTGCAATGTGTTGTGCTGCAGTGAAATCACATTTTTCTGTGCTGTAATATCTATAACTCAATTTGTTGTACTAACAGCATTTACTGTGTATACATTATTTTCATTCAATATTGGTAATCTTTTTATTGCAAATTATGGGCTTTCTCGGGAGGTTTCTATCAGGACTATTAAAAACTGCAAAAAAGTGAAACGCTTCAGTCGCCATCAGACAAATCAAGCCATTCGTAATTTAACAGGTTTAATACGCTCAGGAATTATATATCAGTCCCTAATTTATTGATGATGGTACTTCCAGGGACACATCATGTGTGTATCTGTTCAGCAGTCAAAAACTGAATTTTATTATTTCTTCTGCACTTAAAATGTTTGTATTCTTTTGATTTTGCCTTTAATTTAGTGAATCTGATCCTGTTAGTGCCTCACCTGCCACATTCCTCTCAGGACAGTGTGAATGGAATCTCTCCTAAGCAAAACTGACACCCCCACTGAGTATGCACCTCCACCTCTGCTCCTCTGAGGCACTGACCCCCCAACATTTAGCATGCACCTCCACCTCTGCTCCTCTGAGGCACTGACCCCCCAACACTTAGCATGCACCTCCACCTCTGTTCTTCTGACGCACTGACACCCCCAGCACTGAGTTTGCACCTCCACCTTTGTTCCTCTGAGGCACTGACACCCCCAGCACTCAGTATGTACCTCCACCTCTGCTCCTCTGAGGCACTAACCTCCCAACACTTAGCATGCACCTCCACCTCTGCTCCTCTGAGGCACTGACCCCCCAAAACTTAGCATGCACCTCCACCTCTGCTCCTCTGAGGCACTGACCCCCCAAAACTTAGCATGCACCTCCACCTCTGCTCCTCTGAGGCATTGACACCCCCAGCACTAAGTATGCATCTCCATCTCTGCTCCTCTGAGGCACTGACTTCTACTGCCCCACAGGGAGGTTCCTTTGATGTGGCAGACCGCATGTTCCACTGTGTGAAGAAGGACTGGGAATCAGCCTCTAGAGACAACATGAGTGACGTCAGAGAGCTCATCCCAGAGTTTTACTACCTGCCAGACTTTCTGGTCAATTCCAACAATTTTGAGCTGGGTGCGTAACAGTGGACAGCATGTTGTCATAGTCATCATCATGGTGATCCCAAAATGGGTTTTGACTATTTGCTGTGCTGTGAAGGCTGTACACAGGATGGGACCACCGTGGGTGATGTGGTGCTTCCTCCGTGGGCTAAGGGCGACCCCCAGGAGTTCATTCGAATGCACAGAGAGGTGAGTGTGGCCTTTTCCACCTCCAGCCACTAGCATGTGGCCCTGCAGGGCTACAACCAGGGCAGTCAAAGACGGTCTGTGCCTCGTATTCCACTGTGAAACTGACGGATGGTTCGGGCCGGTTTTCGAGAGTTAAATAAATTTGCTCTTTGTGTCGCTGAGATTATGCAGTGGTTTTGTTCATCACGAATAGCTGATTACTCTGCTTAGCACCATTGTCATTACGTGATAACTGGCCAATTCAGCAGGAGCACAATCCCGGAGCCTGGAGTAACTGCATTAGAGCTCGCCGCCTCTTTATGGGGATGAATGTGCTCTTTCTCTCTACTGTACGCCTGCAGCACTCCGCAGCCCCTGCTTCATCAGCTCGCAGCACTGTCTGTAATCGCCTCCCATTTGTGGGAAGTGACCTCTTTTGTTTTTCTCTTTTTTATTCATACGCAGATGAAATGAAGAGACTGTGGAGAACTTTCACACTGAAATGTGCCCCCCCCCCCCCACACACTTTTTAGCTCAATACACAAAACACCAACTTCAGATTAAGTTTCCTCTCAGCGGCTGGGATGCTGAAATGTCTGTTAGCTGGGACGACTCCCAGTTAACTTTTCCATACTTTTTCCAGCACTTTTCCATAGCTCTGATTTTTCTGTTTAATGATCCCATAATATAAAATACCAAAAACTGACGGCTAACAAACATTTACTAAAATGAGATTCTGATATCATGGACGGTCTCCCCACAACTGGCGTACAGACACTTATAGAGGGGCAGGGCAATACTCTTAGGAATATTCAAAAATTTTTACTAAAGTCTATATTAAAGCTAATTCTTGGACTACATAATTATACCCATTTTTGGTCATTCTGGTCATTGTAGTGGTTAATCTTTTGAATGAATATTAAAATAATGAGCTAATGCAAAAATTATGATAGTAAACTGTTCACTTTTATTTTTCAAGGCATCAAAAGGTAACTTTTTTTTGAAAACCTTAAAGCTTGTCTTTAACTAGCATAGCAAATGAAAATGACCAAATTTAAGTCACACTTGATGCAGAACAACATGCTGAATTTATAAATATTCAGAAGATTAATACACAAAGTGTTGGTAACACGGCACATGTTTTAGCATTTTTCACTATTTTTTCACTTTACGATTTTTTTTACAAGTGTAAGACAATCGTTTTCAGGTTATTTAACTTATTATGTTTCTCCAAATACGTGTCATAAAAAGTTGATAATAGTGTGAAATGTATTTGTTGAAAATAAGATATTTGGTGTAAAATAGTAACTTTTGCACTAGAAACACTTTAAATTTTCATATATGCGGCAGTTCCCTGGGGTGCCATGGTGGTGTCATGGTTAGCACTGTTACCTCACGCCTCTGAGACCTGGGTTCGAGTCTCCAGTGGGAGTTTGTGGGGTTTTCTCTGGGTGCTCCAGTTTCCCCCAACAGTACAAAAACATGCTGAGGCTAATTGGAGTTACAGAAATTGTCCATAGGTCTGCATATGTGAGTGTTACCCTGCAAAGGGTTGGCATCCCATCCTGGGTTGTTTCCTGCCTTGTGCCTGTAGGCTCTAGGATCTAACCTCAAATTGAGCCAGACTGAGTGGAGATCACACTGAACTCATGAAACATGTAATTGATTTAGCTGTGTGCATCGTCCCATACTTTCTTTTACAAAACTGGTGGAAGGAAAAGTTAAAATGCAAAATTAAAATGTAAAAGCAGCGCAGTTCAGCAGTAAAATATGAATATATTTTACAAATTGTTAAATTACCCCTGTGCTGTGCATGCAATGGTTCCCAGGATGTCGGCTTTC